GAGAATAATCCGCCCCGGCATAAATAATTCAATATATTTTGCAATTGGAGATATTCTTTCTTTGTTTGTTTCTTGAGGATATTCCCTCTTAATTTTTTATTATGTCTCCGTTGAAAATTTTATTTTAATTTGTGTCGTGAACCCCTCAGTTAGACGGTGTAAACCTCCTTTGTTTATTATATTAATTTTTACCGGGTGAAACTTTATTTACTTTGTATATCGACGGTGCGGATTTTTCCTCAATTTGCCACCCGCATTCATTTCTTACCTCTTCTGGTCGAGCCTCACGCGATCTTAAACCTTTTATGTGTGGCCTTTTAGACGGAAGAAGGAAGTCTGAAGAATGTCTTCAGGAGGAGGTTGTGTGTGCTTGCGCGTGTACTGGTTACTCCCGTTGCTCTTATCTCAAACACGTGTCTACCTTCTCGCATGTCGTCCATCCGGTAGGTCAATAAAATTGGCCCGCCGAGTCATTACTAACCAGCACGAAAAATGTCGCGTGCGAGGTGTCTAATTAAACAAATACTAAATAACAGTTCGTTAAATTATATAAGTAACGAATAGGCCTGCAATTCTCGTTAAGGTACCTATATTTTTTTCACAAAAGACTTTATTTAATGTATGAGGGTAACTTAATACTGACTTTCTAGCAGTCGACAGGAGGAGAGGGCACCAACCAGAGCTATGCATTTCGACGTCCGTGGAAAACTGTTGAAGAGAAGATGTATAAACTTGTATGGCATTTTGGTCGTAGCAAACGACACTTTCGTATATTTGATACAGGTGCGTCTTAATTTAGGACAACAGGAGGCCATGAAAATAAAAAGAAAACTAAATGGTATCAAGCGAGTAGCTCGGCCAAAAAACACCAGTCGCAATGCAGTAGTGTCCTTTCTCCGCGACACGCGCCACGCCACTGGCGTCCACACTGCGTATAAAATCAACTGGATTAATTTTGGCGCGCAAAACAAAAAATAATATGAGTGTCATAGTGGGAGTTTTATGTTCTATGCTTGTAAAGTGGTACGTGTTGTAAATTTATCAGGATGTTTATGGAAATAAAAGAAGAATACAAAAAGATTTGATGTTCCCTCGGGTCTCGTTCCGAAATTTCCTGCGTACGCCGAGCTCCCGGCCGCCCAAACGGCTTGGTACGTGATCCTATTTCGTCCCGACGCGTTGTAAACTCAAGTCGAACCCACTGTAGTTTCTGTCTGATATAACAATAAATACAACTTTATTAGCTATCAAGCTATGAAATATGTCTTGCGGCTCCAGACAATTAATTTTTTTGGCAAAAGGAGCAAAATGGCTCTTTTGGTCAAAAAGGTTGCAGACCCCTGACCTAGTGGAAGTATTTCACATATTATCTTACCTTCACATTATTTAATTTAAATGCATAATAAATACTCTTAGACCTTGCTTTAAAAATAAACTCTTTAATTTGGTTTTAGTTTGATATCTATTGTGAAAACATCTTTTACATGATGTGTTTTCTTTTAGTTAGGCACTGATTCACTGTATCACACGGCAGTAAATGTATGTAAACCTCTCTAAAAACCTTTAAACCTACCTGCATTAGCTTTAGGTTGCTGAACCTTTCGAGTTTTCAGCATCATTAGCCAGGGTTCGTCCAGTTGTATTGAACATTTTTACAGAATTATAAGAAAATTGGCAAAAGAAAATGCGGTTGAATAATTCCAACCACTAATGTTTTTGGATATATTGAGTTGATAAATCAGAAAGCCTTGTTGAAGGCAAGTGCATCCTGTACATCATTATTCATTTTCTAAATCAGTTTGAATTGCTTTCATCAACACACTTACTAATATTTTAGCATTACACATTTTATGGAATTTATGGCATTTTCACTAAGGTTTTTATGCGCAAATTGAAAATGCGCATTTAAATATTTGAATGGAAATACAGCTATGGTAAGCAGAAAACAGAAACTTTGCTCTGCCTGCTCTCTCCAGGCTTAAATGTTCAGTTTAGAGGGCAATTGCTGTACCTGCGAGCCACGATAGCCAGACAGAAACATGACCAGTGGAGAGAGGGGTCTTAACCCTAACGTCCGTCATCACTGATTACCGTCTCATCTAAATCATCTGCCATTTTCCACCATTGCTCTTCCTCTCATCCGTCCATCCCTCACTGCGCTGACATGATGATTGTCATCTGATGTGACGGCACTGGTATTCCCAGGGTCAGCCTGTGACTAGAGTTTAACCTTGTTTCTACGCCCCTCCTCTGTCGTATCGCCCTGATGTTTATTGTGCATATCTTCTGTGGTTCTTTTTAGATATTTCAAACGATATGTGCAAACTAAATGCAAAGAAAATGTTAAAGGCAGTGGGATTGCATACCTAGTTATTGGAATACTTAGTCAGTTGATTTAAAAAGATGCAGAATCGGCAAAATAAAAGCATATATGTGTGTGAGAGTCGCTAATGTTTTAGATGAAGAAAGCCAAAATAAATTGTGTTTCTGATCTGTTTGAGATCAGTCAGATGTAAAGCAGCCTCACAAGCATATTTTTTGTTCAGCCTACTTTCCTAGCTAGCCGAATGCTCTAAGCTAACACCTGTACATGTACAAGTGACCAAAACACTAACTGTTTGCCTGGGTTCACCTCAGATATCGACTAATATCAGTTCCCAGGCATTTTCTCCTGTAATATTCTTTCCATCGTTGATCCATTAAGCAGCAGGTAACCACACATTCTGTGTTTAAGTTGAAACCTTTCAACTGAATAGAAATGATGCGGGTCATTTTCCACGTCAGAGCAAACTCACATCTTATTGCAGAGGACCGCCCATTGGTGTGAAGGTTAATGATTCCCAAATCAGAATATTCTAAGTTCCTATTGGAACAAAACCAGTAGAACAAAGGCTTGTTGTCCCAAGCCAACTGCTACGAAGGCCTTAAGCTTCAAAATACGGCAGTATATGACATCATGTTGGCTGATATTTAAAAGTAACAGTTGAAAAAGACTGAAATAGGTCAAATAAAAATAACTGGGCTTTGTTTTAGGTATGAGGGGCTGTCGTACTATGGGTTTTCAATCCAACAGGATATTTTCCCGAACTACTGGGGTTTTAGAATAATGCACCCTCAGCATCTCGTTGACGCTCCATCTGGACTTTATTTTCTATTTCCTCTCAAATTTGCCTGATTTCCGTCTGAACACACCTTTAGGGTGGAGGTGGATCTGGTCTGACAAACACTAAAGTCAAGTTGGACATTGGAGATATCAATTTTTAGCTTGTTATGCTAACTTTGGTTGTTCCACAGTTTCCAATACTGTGGAAATTACTTATATTGTTTGCTAACTGGGGATAGCTGCTAACTGGAACAGGAAGCTGTCCTCTTCCTGTTCCAGTTGCTCAATGGTCCTTTCTGCTGTTAATCAAGACAACATGTTTCCTTGGGATTGTACCCAATGGCACACAGAATGGCATAGGCACGCAAGGTTATAAGGAATCAATCGAAACACTGACACATTTTCGAATCAACGATGTGTTTCATAATGATAAATTAAAGAAAAAACTGGCCTGTTGCCACTGGCCTGTTTGAACGCTCTTCCTGATCCCCTTAACCCAGTGGTTTGGGTTGACTAAGGCCCCGGCCACACGAGGACGAAAACGGTCGTTTGCGTTACTGTTTAGTGTCATATAGACCGTTCGGCCACACGAGGACGACCGAATATGACAGTAAACAACTGTGGAAACGATAACGGGTCCCAGGGTGGATAGAACGGCATACGCAACGCTCTGGGGGTCCAACGGCTCCGTGTGTACGCCCTATACGATTATTTTCTGATAATGATGAGGCAATAGCCCCGCCTCTCCCCACCTCTGCTGCTCACCCCCGCGTCAAAGTAAACTGCACACTGAATTCAGATTATTTATCTTTCTCTCGATATGGACATAAAAGCGAGTGAAGTCTAATCTGACAGGACGGAGACACGCAGCTCTGCTCACCTGCAGCTCCGGAGAAAAACACACACTTCAAGTCAGATCATCGCCCTTAGCTATTTTAATTACCTCTCAAACTACATAAACTAGTTATAAATATGTTTGTTTTTACTGTCGGCCGGGTCACTCATTACTGGATCAGCTGCTGCATGAGACAGACACTGACGCTGTCCGAAGAGAGGGAGGAAAAAGAGAGGCTCCGTGTATTTTATTATTATATTATATAGAGTCGTTATTCATTTGTTTTAAAGCTCAATAAATAACAAAGAACACCTTTGACTGGCACTTTTATAATTTTGTCCGGAAGATTTAAACTTTAACACACGTTGACTGGCGAAAAACTCAGCCCGGTTCCCTCGGCCCCCACCGCGGAGAATAAACAGAAGGGCAACCATGACAACCATGCTTCTTCGCTGCTT